AACTTAGCCCTCCCTCCATCACCAGCTTGGCTTTGGCAGCTAAGATTCACAAAGATCAGAGACCTGCAACACCAGCTGCAACACTAAAACTCACCAACAAAGAGGAGACTGAATTGGTCCAAAACCAGCATTTCAAAACAGCTCATCTTTTCAAGTTTGAAAATTCAAGGACTTTCTTTCTCTAGAGTCATATGGCTGGTGCCAGTATCAGGCAGGTCTCATCTCATCCTTCTAATATTCATGCAGGGATGCCTCAGTAGAGCTAGAAGACCTATCAGAGATACCTGAAATCCTAAGAGTACAAAGAAGCAACCCTCACACAAAGCTGAAAGTTTAAACAGTAGGTCTCCTTACAAGAAACACAGTATCAACATACATGCATTTCTGGAATTTGCTGAGTTTTCTCTCCTTGCTGAGACAAGGACAACAAAAGAAAAATCTCAGATAAAGGGAAGAAAGATGGAAACAGCAATATCAGGATTTTTTTTTTCTTTTAAATTATCCAATGTAGAGTTCAATTACATTCCAAGAAAAGGGAAGAGTTTCAGAAGCCACTTGCATCAAGGGTAAGAGCTGGTTACTAATGTATCTTTAAGAGCAAGGGACTGAACTGAAGATGTAGTTCCTTTTAACTATGGAACTCATCTATAATTTTAAGTCAGGATTTGCAATTTGACTGAGTAAAAAACTCTGCAGAAAGAGATCCTTCACTTTCAGGCAAAGAATACAAAGCATACAATAGATTTAGACAGCTTAAGAGACTTCACGGTACATTATTTGCTAATAAAGATCTGGGAGTGGAGTAGAAGGAACAAATAAATTCTACAGCTATTTAAGTATGATTAGATGTACAGATATCTGTGAGCAGATGAAAAGTCTGTTTACCTGTGACTTCTGCATGTAATACATATGTGTTATTTTGTAGGTGATGGTGGTAAGAATTACATGTTGTTACAAACTGCAAATTTTAAATCCAGACAGAACATAATGAAATCTTGATTGTTTTTATGTTCAAGTTAGGATAAGAAAAATCTATTGCCAAGTCTACCACGTTGGCTGAAAGATCATTTAGTGTATTACTCTACCTTAGAGACAGAAAATAAAAAAACTTATCTACAAAGTATTTTAAAAAGCATGGGTTACCATCCCTCAGAGAGCTGCGTGGAGTTATCCTCCCCAAAAGACCTATTTAAGGCAGGCAACCTTTGAAATCCTGGGAACATAGTGTTCATCTACCCTTCAGAATAAAAACATTACAGTCATCTCAACCACGCACTTCTATTGGATTTTGGGTGACTGTGAAGGGAAGGAGAAGGAAGGATAGTGGAACTGAGAAACCCAAAATGTATTTGTAGCCTCGTAGCCCACGGCATCACGCTGAGAGAATAATTAAGGAATCATGTGTTTATTAATGATCTACCCAAAATATTCTCAGGGACACATCAGCCCAGACCCAGAGTCACTGCCACAAGGAGAAATCAGAAATACCATTAATTTCTCAATAGAAATAGAGGGACATGAAGATTTGACTGCATACAGTTTTTCACTGGATGTTTTCAGCACTACCAAAAGCCATCAATGTGTATGTTCTTACAGAAATGTTCATGTCCTGGACTTCACTGCAGCTGTTTAGACAAAAGACCTGATAGTGTTTTATTGGAAATGCCTTTCAGAGGAACAGATTACTGTAGTGAAAAAACCATGTTGCTATACTACAGCCTGTTTTCCAAGTCTTATTTTAGCAAGAACTTTTTTAACATCAGTGAAGTTTCTACCAGTGTATTTTGGGAAGTGCATCAAACTGCACTTGCTACCATCAAGATGGCATCATGCCAGGAATTAACATAGGCAGAAGCTTCAAAATCAGGAGCACAGCACTTCTACTTCAAGAGAGAAGCCAGACTGGACCTGGGCTGTGGGGAAGCAAGCAGGTAAGTACCTGACACTCAATGCCATTTCCCCCACCTTCAAGTTCTTTTAAGATAATTCACTGTAATTATTTAAAGATGGTTCCCTGAGGAAAACATTGTAATCCTATTTATTTCTTTAGGATATTAAAAATGAGCCTGATAACTCTGCACGTACCTCTAACAAAATGCTTAAACTCCACCTCCTGTGTGCTGGAAAGTCACAGTGGGAGAAACAGCAGTCAAAGCAACATAAACCAGTGAAAAGCTGGACAGCAAAGGGACTTGGAGACTGAAGAAAAGAGATCCAGAACTTCTGGCACTATGTATGAAGGACCAAACAGGGTGTCCTGTTTATCTTCATTTTGACAAAATAAAAGTAAGCTGGAGACAGTTAATAAGTGTATCTTATACAGCCCACGTATTCATGGGTTAAACTACTGAAAAAATGCACAGCCTGCTACAGACAGCTGAAAAAACTCCAGGAAAACCTTAAGAAGTCATCCTATGTAATTTACCACTGCTGTCTGTTTTTCCACTACTCTTCACAAGACTAGAATTGTTGCCTCAGACCAGTTTTAAGGGGACCATTTCATTAAATAACAGGAATAATTATAAGCTTATTCCACAGTGCAAGCAAAAGGACCTGTACTAAGTCTACAGAGTTTTGTCTTTTCTGTATCAGCATATCCCAGTAACTTTAATGCTCTTTACAGAACTGCTTTAAAAGCATTCCTCAGCATTAAAATCCTCAAATCTGTTTTTTAAAATATGTTCCTTAATTTGTTGTTGAAAAATCAGTAGGAATAACAATATTATTGACATATTATCCCCTAAGTGCTAATCTTTTTCATAAATACATCGGACTGCAAATTGGTAGTTACATTTGATTTTTATAATTCAGTGTGATAACCTGAAGAATACCTTAATACATGCAGCAAAGCTCTGGATCTAAAGGACACTGTAGAACCCCTTCAACTTCGCAGCACCAATATTATCCAGAACTGCTGTATGAGGTGTGAAAGTGGGAAATAAAAACCATTCCTCAGCATGGTATTTGATCTAAACAATTTCTGTACATAATGAAATCCTTTTGATGTAGTGGTTCTAGAATTGTTATTTACAGATCACTAACTCTGGATGGCAATGGCATGAGTTTTTACACAATCTGAAGGCTGTACTAAGCAAAGTATTACAGGTCACACTTCTAAATATTTAAAAGCAGAATGTAAGTGGAGAAGCCAAAAGCTGAGGATAAGTATCCTAAAGCCATAAGCTCTAAACTCCAAATAACAAAGTGAAAGCTTGTGTTTTCCACCAAGAAAACGACTTAATTGTTAACAATCCAGCTCTTTCAAATAAGTCTTCTGACCATACTTAAAAACAGTATTAGAGACCAAAGCCAAATCAAACCTGTATGTTTGCAGAAACATCCTCCCAACTATCAGGGTTTTTGGTATTATTTTGCTTTGTTGTGGGAGATTTTTCTGCTGGTGTTGTTTGGGTTGAGGTTTGGGTTTTCTTTGCTTATTTGACAGCAGAAACAAGGAATAATCTGTCCTGTCCAATTTTGCCCAGAGATGTAAAGTTCTCAAACCATTTCCAATTTATGCAAAAGATGAAGTGTGAGTAGATAATGAGTAGAAGCAAATGTGTTACTTACAGAACTACTGTGCAAACTAAAAATAGTATATTGAGATATATAAACTGTTAGAAATAAAAGGATAATTCTATTTGAGGTCTAGTCATAGTTACAATGCTAAAGCACACAAGATAAAGGAAGAAAATGTAATGCAAGTTCTCTTCTTCATAGTCTAAATTAAATGGTTTACTTCTACTTTATGCAGAATGTTGAAAGAATGTAGAAGTGGAGGGACTTCTGTAACCTCGACTACTCTGCCTGGAGGCAATCCCCATTCCCTCCACAAACCTGGAGGAGGGTACAGAACGTGGTTAGTGCAGAATGATTTCCTTGTAAAGGATCGAGCAAAACAGTCCCAAATCTGTCTGGGGCCTTCCAGAGTAACAGCTGTAAATGATATAACCTGGAAATCTGCTTGCCAGGTCCTGCAAACACAATCACCATCATGTCTATGCACACATGCTGTTAAAATATCATCACTGCAAGAATGCAGGAGCCCAACATCTTTGCAGAGCAGCAGTGTTTAAAAGTAACATAAAGAGCTTAAGATTCAAAAGAAACAGGGAGAGCTCTACTTCATAAAATATGGAATGCAGGTCCAAGTTTAAGGCACAATTAAAAATAAAAATCCTTACTTTAGGAAAGCACAAGCTCACACACCTAAAACTGAAAGCCCATGTTTTTTATTGCATACCTTCTTTGCAGTTTATCTGCAAGTCTACAATCCCCAATCTCATAGCAGCTTTTTAATATATTCTCCTGTTAAATTATGCACCTTTGACATCTTCTGCAAGAAAGGAACAGCTGTCAGAAGCTACTGTTATTGCTCATTAAGATTGCAGCAAGAGAAGGAGAAAGCTCAAGGCCAGTGGAAAGGCACCAGAAGTTAGTGTACACAGATGTTGGACAGAGAACTGTTTAACCAAAGCTAGAATTATTTGCCTGTGCTATGTGTGATGTGCTGAAAATGTACCTATTTTCTCTACTTAAATATTCTCCTCCTCTTAAGGAATGAGAAATAACTACCTTGCCTCTGAAGAAATCAGAATGGAAGGCACGCCCATGAAAAGAATGGAATCCTCTGCATGAAGATGTGTGTTCTGAAGTAAAAGTGGTCACAAAGATTAAGCTCTAGAGAAAGATAAATGTATTCCTGGATCCAGAAACAGCTGTTTCTACCGAATTAGGAGCAGCAAAATGTTCTTCTACCCATCTCCACTGTTTAGAGCTTAAGTGGACAGTAAACAGAGTAATGCCACTGTGAACTGCGGCCTATCTGATTATGATAAGGCACCTACAGCAGCAGCCAAACAAAAACTTGTTTGGAGCATTTAAGACAAAAATTGTAGACAAGCTGATACTTCTGTATTGTGAACCCCTAGTTAAAAAAAAAAAAAAAAAAGGTTTTCCCCCTCGTGAAATACCCAAATCAGTACTTTTGGTACACATACCTCGAAGAATTCTCTCCTCATGGCAACGTAGAAAGTCCCAGATTCTAACAGTGCCGTCGTCAGAGCATGTAGCAAATTTATTATCCGTGGGTGAGAAACTGTTACATGAAGACACACAGCAGGGGAAAGAAGTCAGCATTTAACAGATTATGCTTCTCAGACAGGGCAAAATTATACTGTTATGTGTTATACACTGAAGGAGGCATTTGAACATAGGCACTTTTAAGTGAATACAGTGCCTGCCAAACGACACTTCATCACAAGACATGAATTTAGCATAGGATTACTTATTGCATTGCAGTCCCCTGTCAAATGAGGAAAAAAAAAAACCTGTCATTTATTCTTAGCACCTTCCTATCTATGACTGCCCACGGCAGCGCTTTCTCTGCAGGATGAGAAGCAACATCAACATGATTTGGTAACTGTCGCCCTAGATTGTCATGTTTGGCAACACCATAAGGAAGTGACACTGTGTAGAAGCAGAGATAACAGTTCTTAGGGAAAAAACTCCTCTTCAGCCACAGGTGCTTTGCAGCAGAGAAGCAAAAAATAAGTGAAAGCTGGTCACAGGAAAATGCTACTTGGATTAACTGTTAAAAAAACTATATAAAACAAGCATACCACTTATTGTAAGAGCAATTTGGAAACACTCCCTCTTATTATAGCCCACCAAAACCATGAAAAGAATCCTATAGACATATAAGCAGCTTCCAGATTCAGCAGTCAACATTGCTTGATGAAAGTCACTGGAAAAGCAAGGAGTTATTTAGCCATGTGAACAGGGCCAGAACATCTCCAGCAACTGACAGGCACTCACTTCTTTTCTGGTGCAGGGAGAGACCATGAGGGAGCCCTTGTGAAATCTTAGATCTTTATGATCAAGAAAGGGCTTAAAGTAGCACAGAAATTCAGTGTATGGCCATGATAGTCAGACAGTAACTGAATCCAAAGTACGCACTTCTCAAAACCAAACTCTGGCAGAAAATGCACCCTTATCCAAGCAAAATGGTGACTTTAACAGAAAGTGGGTTTGTGGCAGTGAACCTTTATCACCAGCACCTGAACCCATAGAAACACTGCTTTAGCTTCATTTTGGATCTGCAGCTTCTCTTCAGGCTTACTTTAAAAACATTTCCATATCTTACTAAGGATTATATGCAGGTTTGCTCTAGAAACATCCTTCATTTCCATCTTACTGATAGTATCGCTTTAGCTTCCATTATATAGACATTTGCACAACTGAGGCATCAACACTGAACCAAGAGAATATCCTACAGTCTTCTTACAGTTTCAAGCTTGAAGAACCCATTTAGTATTAACATTAGACTTCTGTATGTGGCAGTCTGCGTGGGTATTTAGTATTACTGGAAGTCTTGGCTTCACCAAGCCAAGCAGTTCTTCACTTTATTTAGTGTTTTATTATTTTGTGAGAACTATGCAGGTGTTTTATTTCTGAAGGCTTTATATTTTATTCAGTTAGATTATTAAAGACTGAATTCTTTATTTGGAATGAAATTGTCGTCTTACACAGTGCGTATAAAAAGGAATAACTGATACACATTGTCACCATATAAAAATGAAAAGAATACCAGTGCAAAATGCGGCAGACAAATACATCTCTAACATATTGCAGAGGCGGATTCTGGGACAATACTAATTCAGAAAGGTGCCAGCAAAACGGTGAGAATGTGGAAACAAAAGGAAATATTGTGTTTATGTGGTGCATGAAGTCTCCCAGAATCTGACAGAACCCATGCATTTCTGCACCCAGAATACACTTAGAGAACAGTCTAATCATGGCAATAGGTACTACAGAAAATGGTATATTGTGTATAAACCTGGCCTCTCTAATCGCCTCCTTATGTGCCTGGAACATCTTGACGTTGTTCATGTTGGACTGCCAGTATTTCACATATCCCCCGTGGTCTGCTGTCAGCATCCACATATCATTGTGTGACCAAGTCATAGCCCTTACAGGGCTGTCGTGAGCCTGTAAATTCAGAAACAAAACTTCTAGCAAACACATTCAAATACCATCTGATCCACACAAACACTGAAGTTACTAAAGTTCCTACTTAACAGCTGCAATGAGGAGATGGGAACAGTGATGATCTAATTACATTCAAGATGTTATTGTGGGGGGAAAAAAATTCCTTACTCTGCATACAGTGGTCTTCTAAATAGTAACAGTATTTGCATTTTGTTTCCAATATGTTTCTTTATTATTACAAATACTATGTTCTTGAGAACAGTTAGTATAACAGATGGAGATGGAATAAGAAGCATTATGTGAATTGCCTGTAGCAGGTCTGACATGGAGTCAGAGCAGAATAAAAGACCTCTAAGACTCCCACTACCACTCAGACCATAGACCCACGATGAGTAGGATGAAGATGTGTTCCTAGAACATGCTCCAAGACCTCAAGGAACTACATAGAAATTTTTATAGATGAATTTACCTGCAATATTGTTTCAAAATTGAAAGTCAGTCCATTCCATAAAGTGAACTCTCCACTAGATGCACCAGTGACCAAACGTCTCCCCTCAGGAGTCCACTGCAAAAGAAACATTTAACTAAACTGGGCAAATACAACATTCAAATATTTCTTCACAATTCTCCAAGTAAATCATGAGCTTCTTCAGGGAATCTGTGGAAACAGAATTAACTACATGACTTTCTAGAGGACGCAAGATAGACAAAAAAGCAGAACTGTGCCACAGGGCTTTTGGTTTTTGTAACAACAGGATAAAGCCCACTGTAAAAGCCATGAAAAAATCTAGAGAAGAAACAGCTTACTGGCATCAGTATATTTACAGCACCCAATATCCATACAAAACAATATTGTCTCCAAAATGTGATGGGGAAAGTGGAAATGCACCTCAAACTCACAGTAAGAACTCTTGTGTGCTCAGACCTTACCATTTATTTTCCTTAAACTTTCTATAGAAAGACTGGACACAGAAGTAGTCCATGCATTCCACATGCTAGTTTTTGAAGATGCTTTAACTGCCATCTTGTTTCAGTTAAGAATCAGTCTAATTTAAACTAAGACAATACAACTAAGTAATTCCAACAGTGTACTCACCCTGACAACAAACACTGGGCATTTTACTTTATTAGTAGATGTTCTAACAAACTTTGTTGTCACAGCATTCATAGGGTTGTTCAGCATTCCTATAGGAGGGACCAGCTGTAAGAGAAGAAACAAAAGATTTAAAATCAGAAACTTCAAGAAAAGCATGTATTCTGAACACCCATTTGGGGAAAAGCAAGACTGCCATTTGCAGGGATATTACCAGAAATAAATCCATAGAAGTGTTTCAAAGTCTGCGTGATTTATCAACTCAAACATCCAGAACCAGTATCTTCAAGAGCAGCTTTGCAACCTCAGTGCATTATAGGAGTTATGTCCAGAAATTAAAAGCCTATCCAGGTTCAGGTTCTCTTTGTGGATTCCAACAGAAAATAATGTAAAGTGAAGATACCCTTCATAACTTTAAGGCTTCTTGCAGACACAATGATAACCTCAGCTGACATGCAGAATCCTTCCCATTTTCTGGACAAGTTTTATCTGCAGAACTTCATCAGTGAATAAGACAATTCTACTTACATCATTATAATATCCTGCATCAGGCTGGATTGCTCGCATATCTCGCTGGTCTCTCTGCCATACTCTATTCTGGAAAGAAGAAAACAACTCCTAGTTCATACTAGTGCACTCCACTGTTAAATAACAAAAAATAAGAAATACATTGAGAGTCTGTTTGGGAAAACTCTAAAGCGCCCCGAGAATTTTAAAGTAAGCTTTATTAAGACTTTGGACTCAGGAAACCTGTAGAATTTGTGTGCTGTAAGCAAAGGAGTCAGGAGTGTTTAAAGTGCTGCACATTCCTGTGCCACAGATGGGTGGTACTGCCCAAGCTAACAGGTAGTCCCAGAGAGGCACCTTCAATCCTTTCAGAGCTTTATGTTCAGGATAAGGATTAACACCAGTAGCAGCTGTGCTGATGAACTCCACATGAAATCCCACGGAGCAACATGAGCTAGAAAAGGACTTTCTGCAGCTCAAGCATAAAGACAATGCCTTCAAATGGATGAAACTGAGATGTGGGGATAACAACGCCTTCAATTAGTTAAATATTGTGAGCTGTCAAACACAACCTCTTCAAAAATACTTCTTATGAATTAAGAATAAAATTAATTATTTCAGCTTCATGCCCCAGACTCTACCCATTTGGATCTGTGTAGATATTGGAAACTTAAGTTACAAATCTAGGTAAAACATTCCCAGCTACTAGAGTTTGCTACAATTTCTTAAGCCAAGAGCAAATTACATATTAACTATTTTTCTTGGGTTTCTTGATAGAAACACATTAAATCGGTAGTATTAAGCCAGGATTGAAATGGAATTCTAGTATATCCTAATTTTGTGTAAGCATCCAAGACACACAGAAATCAGATTTTTTGTTTGTTATTACTTTAATAAACAGAATTTTAATAAACAGTTCCTTTTTCTGCCATACTAAAAAGGTCCTGAACTTCTGAAATTATTCTTTTAGAATAGTCCACTACTAACAGAATCTCTTTTGGGGCATTCCTAAAATAAAAGAATATGTTTAAAATGTTGGATGTTCAAACAGACCTTAGAAGATAACAGATTAGGTTATTAAGAAAACCTTCCAACTGTTAACACCTACAAGCTATAATCATGCACTGGCCATAGCAGATGGAATTGCTTTCATCATGTCTTTGCAACATTGCTGTTGCAGCTGCAACAATTCCAGTATTTATAGGTTGCATTCTATTTCTTCTAGGCTAATACCCACCACTTGTGGAGTAAGTCTTGGACCAGAAAATTTTATTTTTTAAAGAATTAATGCCACCCCATTAGGAGACCTAAATAAGCATTTTTACAGAAACAGTTCTTCAACAAAACTTCATTTACGTTTTTCTGTATTTATCAACTGTACAGAAATGGACTTTCAGAGACCCCAGTGCAAGCTGAAGTGCCATTCAGTAAAATGATGAGAAAACATTTTTTAGTGCCCTGGTTCTGAAGAGGAAGGGGGAATGGTTCATCTTCCACTTTGGGAAATTTCTATTTCAAAACAAAAATAAGAACAACTACATTATTTATAATGAGTTTTTCTGATCACTGAAAAGTCAGAATATCATCCAAGACACTCAACTGCACTCCAACTCCTAATTCCAAGAGAGGATGCAAAAGCTGGCATTTATACAAAATATAAAATTAGCTGTACGTGCAGTTTTGTTACCAAAAACCAATCCCCCCTTTTTATTCGTAATACACCAAATTTACAAGCTTTTGTCATTTTGGTCAAAAACGCAGCAGCAGATCTTTTGTTATTCCAGACCGCTTTATGGTCACCGAAAAGCACAATCACCTTTCAGGAACTCAAGAAGGCTTTCGGACCAAAAAAACCCCAAAAAATTGGCTAATTGACTAACCTCCAGATATTTAATTACAGAGGGGTTGTAGTCTATGGTCTTTCTGTTCACAGCTTTCCTCATGCGCTTCCCGTCGAAGGTGAGCTGCTGCATCGCCTGCTGCTGCGCGAAGTCCGGCCGCTTGTAGAAGAGCTGCCGAGGGGCCTGGTGCTGGAACCTCGGCATGTGGAAGAACCGCGGCGGGGACCCGATTTCCGTGGCCATGGCTCCCTCGGCTCCGAGAACTGCCGGGAGCGAAACGAGAGGTGAGCACACAGTTCCAGGATCTCCCCTAACCCAAGGTGAGCACACAGTTCCAGGATCTCCCCTAACCCGAGGTGAGCACACAGTTACAGGATCTGCCCTAACCCAAGGTAAGCACACAGTTCCAGGATCTCCCCTAACCCAAGGTGAGCACACAGTTCCAGGATCTGCCCTAAGCCAAGGTTAGCACACAGTTACAGATCTCCCCTAAGCCAAGGTGAGCACACAGTTCCAGGATCTCCCCTAACCCAAGTTTACAAGGATGACAAACAGCTTCAGAAAGCGCCGTTTCTCGGCAAACAAACGTTTGCAGGATTGTCTGAAGAATTATTTTTCCTGCCCTGCGCCTCGTAACGCCAACGTTAAAGTAGGTAAGTACCTTTTTTCTCTCTCTATCAAGAGGAATTCTGTATTGAAACACATCACTAGTAAGTTCGCATTACCATCCCTAAACTAAAAATGTGCAGGAAAAGAATGCCCTCGGTGTAAATGCAAGAAATGGCAAGAGCCTTCAACAGACAATATTTCAGATTCAATATAAAAACCAGGAAATATCACATCAGTTACAAATTCATTTAACTATTGACAAGGCAAAAAGTTTTCAAAGGCTGACTAAACATCTTTTTCTAGGACCTAAAACCAAAATTACATTTCCTCTACTTAACTTCTAGTAAATGGCCCACAGATCACATTCTACCTGTAGGTATATTTTCAATTCCATTACTGCAAAATAAATTACATCTTTATCAAGGTTTGATAAATGTAATTGAACATCATTTCCCCCACAACAAAATTCACTGAGAATGTTAAGGAATTGGAGGGGCAGGGAGAAAATTCCAATATTCAGAATTTTTCTGACAGAGGGAAATGAGTGTAAAATCTGATTTTTCAGTCTATGAAATCCTTACATTATGAGATCATGGCAACCTCTTCAGAGCTGAAAACTACAATATACACAGTCTTTGAAGTATATACTGACCTCAGACTAAGTGGTGACACACACTGAAGCAACAAAAGCTCAAACTTCATTTTGAATGTATTCTCCTCCACATCCTATACTTGGTTTGAAAAACATTTTAAACCAAAATAAACTGGCCCTGTCATCAAGGGAATGCAAAATGGCCAAGAAACTCCCCTTTGCACAAAGGCTTAAGTGTTTACGCAGAAGCAAAATGTACTTAATAAAGAGAAAGGAAATAAAATAGCAGATTTCTTTAAAAAAAAAAAAAGATGGCATAACCTGTTTGTAAATTCATTACTGTACTTTCCTAATTAGTTAAAGTACTCATATCCTCAATTTGAAAGAGTTGGAAAGTTGTTTCACTGCCAGATTTAAAAATCTTGCTTTTTTTTGGATCCCAGTAGTTGAAAAACATTTCCATTTTTTAAACAGCAAAATAAAGCTAAGACAGAAATGCCAGACACATGAGAGGATTTAAAAGCAGTGCATAGTTTGATTCTTTTCAAGAGGTTCTTTCTAACTACAGGGAGCAGGTTGCCCTTTAAATAAACATCAGGCAGTTTGTTGGGCACAGGGCAGGAATTAGCTTGGCAAACTTGGGAGCTCACACTCCTTTCCATGCTAACAAAGGGTGACAAGCCAGCTACAAACCAAGCCACCCACAACACCTGGTTGGCTGCTTGCTGCACAAACACCTTCCACAGACAAGGGGAAAACCAAACTAAAGCCATTTCAACTATTCTCCATTCAAGATAGACAGGCCCAAACTAAACCAGCAGGTTTCCTTAAATGAGGTAAGGAAACATAACCCCTTCGGCAGGTAGAGCATCTTATGAGACCAAAGTGGTAACTGGGAGGAGAGGAGGAGAGAGAGAGCGCCCAGTGGACAAAAAATGAACCTTTACCCCGCAGCTGAAAGGCTCATTTGCCTGGAAGCTGCCCAATACCAAGTGGTCTAATCAGACACCACATCTGCCTCCACACACTCCAGACCACAACTCTAACACAGGTCCTACAACATTAAGCTTGCCTGGAGCACAAAAAAAGTATCCAACTTTTCTCATGCAGGAATCGCGTCAAGCGCCTCTAACACTACCTCGGATTCTCTTAGGGCTTGGCAGAAGGTAACAAACCTGTACAGAAAGTTTCAAGTGTTAAATCTCAAAGGTAAAATTAAAAGAGAAAGCGGCTTCTTCGAATGAACACAACAAGCTGGCATTAAACATACAACATGCAAGTTTTCCAGTACTGCTCTCCCTCAAGTCTGAATCAGACACTTTCTTATACCAATCATTACTTCAAACCAGAGGGAAAAAGATAATTTTTCAAAACCATGCATCCACACATCTGTACTCTCTTATAGGCAATGTAAAAAATAAAGTTCAAGAACTGAGACCAAGAGTGCAGTCAAAGCTATACGCTGGGGCCTCCAAAAACACTTTGATCAGCTGTATTTGCTGATCAACATTATATAAAACCCCCATTTTAGGGAAATACTGCAAAGCAAAAAGTTAATACTTTGTTTTCTTGCTCCAGAAAAATCCCTGGAAGAAAGTTTCTCTATTACCATCATTGGTAAAGAAGGCATTAGCTATCATGTGGCTCAGTTTAGATTGGACACACCTAAAACTACTGCAATCAGTGTCTATCTTAAATTAGCATAAACAACATAGACTTAACATGTAATCCACATCAGCAAAAATCGCTGTTTAAAATGTGACTAAAGGCATAAACATGTTAACTACACCTCTTCATGCCTAAGGACCCTTCCACATTCATGATTATGACAAGACAGTTAAGTGGCATCACAACCATAACATCATGACACTGGATTAGGAAAATGAAGCATTTATAGTCTGGTTTTTTCAACTTCTGAGATCAAAAAAAGCCTTCCACCTGCAGTTACAAACTCTGCAAAAAGTTTTGTGTACCCAGCTGCTCAGGATCACTTTCTTCTAATTGCCTCAAATATTCTGCTTTTATCCACATAACATGTAACACGTGTGAAATCTATGAAAAAAGTGTGTGCACATACAGGTGAGTGTACATACACACCAAGTGAAGGTTCTAAACAAAGCAGCTTCAGAAATGAAGGGGTTTGGTACAGAATCAGTTATCAACTGAAACTAGAGCATTTTTTCCCCAAGACCTCTACTCCAGTCAGAGCAATATACCCCATTTAAGTTACCAGTATCCTACTTGGTCTTTTGTTGGGACAAACCAGCGCCTCAACAGGCTCTTCTTAAGATCTTCTTTATCAACTACATGTCAGAATTCAGCATGTCTATAGCTGAAGGTCCTCTTGTATTGGCAGTGTGAGGAGAAATACGCAAACAAATATTACAGGACACTGTGTAATCCAGTGCAGTAACACGCAATTCCCTATTTGAAGCAAAGTGCCAAACTTTGTTTTCATCTTAGAGTCCATCAACAGGATTTAAGCAAAAGAATCGATTTTTTCCTTAACGTACACAATCAGAAGCAACAGCAAGATTTTTTCCAACATCACGCACAGGTCAGCTCGTATTTTGATTCTGGACAGTAATGTTGCCAATTAATGGCTATTTTCTTCTAGTTCATTATACTCCTGGCACAATTTAAACTTTGAAGTTAATTTTTGTATACCATTTTTCCACACATCCTTATCAGCTTCCCCCTTCCTGTTCCCACAAATACCCCTTTCAAAGCTGACCAGCTTTCACACATTTTGAGGCATAAATGTATTTGGGGATACATAGAGAATACTAAACTAATTCACTGAGCAAATACAGGGCCACCCAGTAACACTGCAAGGTAAGTAACTGGGCTTATTCTTCAGCTAAGATAATGAAAGCAAGCCTGGGAAATGCTATCAAAGTGGGGAATAAATGAAAGCATTATCTGACATGAAACTGAAAGCAGGATTAGCACCAGACAACCAAAAACATCCCGAACACAACTTAAAAGAAACACACAGTAAGAGTAGGAGAAACTACAGAAGCAAAACCATGAGGAGCAAGGCCAGTTAAGGAAGAGTGAATGAGAAACCCGACAAATAAGACACAGGTAAAAGGAAAAAAAAAGAATATGGTTCAGGGAGAATTAGGCAGAATAAACTGGACAACAGAACTAAAGGAGCTTGTGACAGCACCTAAAATGTCCACCCTGTTCCTCAATTGTCAACAACTACACCTGCAACATAGTCAGGCCTTCATTTCTCCCCAGTAGTGCCAGGACAGCAGGTTCACTAATGCTACCGAGTAACTGGAGGGACATCGCTGGAGAGCAGAGTTAAAAATGAAACAAACTGACAACAACCTCATACCCAGGGCAGCATGGTGTCAAGACAGATGGATTTGGGGAGTTTCTTTGCTTTTGAAACAAGCAAAAAGTCACATGCAGTATTAGTCCACCACAGAAAATGGTTACCATTTAAGTCATGTACTCAAATAAGGCTACAAAGATGACATTGGCATTCAGTGTAATACCACTGTTACTTTATCATCTTATTTTGGGTATGGTTTTTCTTCTAATGTCAAAATGAATCTTGCATTAAGTTTGGAAAATTAATTGACAGATTTCGACTTGAATCATGAAACCAAAGCAATTCACATATAACTTCATTAAATCAAAATAAAACAAAACAGGCTACTTAAATCAAAATAAACCCACCAAACTAGCAAAGCTTAGAGAGAGTGAGTCATGGCTTATATTAAATACATCACTACTTACAGACAGTTCAATACTACATGAAAAATATGCGATTTTAGTACAATCTTGACATATTTCATACGATTTACACAGACAGCAAAGCTCATCATTAATGAAGTGCAGTAACTGGTAACTAAAGCATCCTTGCCTATTTAGTAGTTATTTTTAATTGAAGGGAAAGGAACTTGGGTGGAATACAGCGAGTAATAACCTGAACACATCAAAAGAAAAGTATGTTTTCAGAGGTAGCACAGAAGGCTGTTCTGTGAAGTGCAAGGTACTTTGCAGTGGTCCTTTGCTGGCCACTGAACACACCATGCCTAAGCTGAA